TGAAAAAAGTTTTGATACTCTTAGTATTTAATTTTCAATTTCTTTTAGTCTAACTATTCAATATATGCGATGTTTCTCTACTCTTCAAATCACTACTTTTATCTTATTCTAATCTCTATATTTATGCTGATTTGCTCTGTACCGGAACACTATATACACTATGACCAGGTCCAACAAACTTTTACACACATCTTCTCAATGATTCTTCCCTTTTCTCCCGTTTCTTCACTGTGTCGTAAACCATTCACTTCGTTGCTCAGCGCCATGACGAGCTCAATCGAGTGCGCGACATGGAAAAGGTTGTGGCATTAATCCACGTCATAAACCCTACTTTTACTGCACTACAAGCCAACTATGCTAACATCTAACGAATATGCTAACAACTTCCAGCCATCACAACTTTGAGAGAAAATTTATTGTGACACAACGGCATAAAAGCCGGTCACCAAACCTTGCTATTTTTTTCTCACAAGTACTTTTTGTAATTATTATTATTCGCTATACAAATGTTGAATCACAGCCCTGTTAAAAACTGTTGGCTATTCGTATCACAAGGATGACAATACTAAGCTTCCAACATGACACAGCATAATCATAAATATAAAGTCTTTACAGAGGGTGCCAAAGGAAAATTTCAATAATTTTTAAATTGAGATTGAGATTTTTTATTTTATTATCTAAGAGTCTGCCTTTCTTTAAGAAATGATGTTTTCCTCCAGCTTTCTTCTCGTTTTCAAATGTTGTTTCTCCAAATGTTCGAGTGAGTGTTCAACTTTCCGCATAAGCTGTCGGTAATTCCGTCGCATAGCGGCCAGCTTTTCGTCTTTTTCTTCAAGAAGCTTTTGCAAGCGCTTTACTTCTTGTAATGTTTCTGGTGAGGTCTCCAATTGTTTTCTAAAATTCTAGAGTTTACAATAAAGCAGAGATTCTCAAAAAATGAACAAATTCGATATTGACGTGATTTGTATGTTCTCAGAAACTTCAAAATGGACATGAAATGCTAACTTGAGCTCAGCAACTGTAACTTCCAAAGCGTTCCGTTCTCGTTTGAGCTGCTCAATAAGCGCTTTACTCGCATTATCCTCCGCTCGTGTTATGTCTTTCTGGAAAAGATACATTGTAGAAAACCTCTAAAAAACTTTGAAAAGTAAAAAAGTAAAAAACCTATCACCTTTGCACTGCTTTCTGTCATCATTTCGTCTTTTCGAGAGGCTTCTGCTATTGCGGTTTGCAATTTTTGAAGATCGCGACGCAGACCTGAGTAGCAACAGATAAGGTTAGAAAAGGAGGCCAAATGTGATATCCGTAAAAGCAAAATGTCAGAAGGAAACATTATAATAGGAGAGGATAAGGAAGTTAAGTCTTAGGTGATGACTTTTTCTTCTCTTTCTTTTTACGGACCACAGGAGTATGTCAGATCATATTCAGACTATGCAAATGCTGATGGTGAAAGGTAAGCTAGTGCTTGAGGCGTGAGGATGGTGAAAGAAGGTGGGGAGCGAAGGCTGGAGGAGTTATGCAACAAGAAAAGAGGATATCGCAAAAGCTAATCATTTGTCACAAATTGACGCTTATGATCTGGTGATCTGAAGACGTAGCAATAAATACTTTATCTTATCAAATTCTACGTTTTCCAAAACGTAATGTGATGTGCACCGTGAATATCCAATAAGTTGCTATAGCTCTCATATTTACCTTCTATCATTTCGTCTTTTTCTGCCAAAGTACGCTGAAAATCATTTGCTTTCTGTTCGAAAGATGTTGTCCTCAAGAGTAGGGTCTTCCGAAAGTTTTCTTCCTTTGTCATCCAAACAATTTCCTTTTCCATGTCTTCTTTCATACAACGATTGAGCTCACTTTGAAATTGGTTGAATTAAAATCATGCAATTCATAACTCTTCTACGGCCACTCACCATCGTAACGCGATGGAATCACTGTGTTTGATAGCGGCTGCATTTCGAGCTAATTCTAGGTCCGCTTTAGTTCTTAATAATGCT